ATATTTTTAATAAATACTTCATTCATTCTGGAAATTATATATTTTCTTGGTCGCATTAAAATGTTGTCATTTTTTATTTTTATTTGTTTCAAAATAAGATTACAATTTTCTAATTTAGTAATAGTACTACTACCTACTAACATAATAAATATACTTTCAACTTACAATATATTATACAAATATCATTATTTTTAGAACAAAAATCAATTTTGATACAATTCAATACCATAATTATCAATTTTTGTCTCATCCAAACGAAACTTTATCAATTTTAGCCCCATGTGGTTGACTGGACTGGACACGGCCGTGTTGGGTGACTCAAAATGATGACTGAGTGCCTCAGATAGCCAACACGACCATGTTCTTGCCCGTCTTCCGAATACAGTCATGTTTTTGCGCATGTTCATGACCCTGTTCTCAACACAATGTTCTAGGTCATGTTGACGATCATGTTTTCAATATATACTGTATGTCATATTTATTAGTATTATTTTCACTTTTTTGTTAAGATTATTTGATATATTTTTAATTTAACAAAAATCTTTTTTGCAGTTACATTTTAAAATATTAAAAATTAATTTTTTTATATTATGAAATAATTGTAAAAAAAATTTATAAAACTAATAATATATTTATATATATATATAATAATCATAATTATATATATTTTTTCATAATTTATTGTAAAAAAATAAATTTAATTTATAATTTTAGAAATATAAAATATAAAATAATCAATTCAAAATAATATTTTAAAAATTTTACACAAAATATACTATATAATTATGATTATCAAAAATATTATTATTTTTATAATTGTTTTTTACAATTATTTCAAAATATAAAAAAATTAATTTTTAATATTAAAAAAATAATTAAAAAAAAATATTTTTGTTGAATGAAAAATATCAAATAATTTTAACAAAGAAGTAAAAATAATACTAATAAATATAACATACAATATGACTATATATTGAAAATATGATCGTGAACATGGTCTAGAACATGGCTGTGTTGAGAACATAGTCGTGAACATGGATAAGAACATGACCATGTTGAGCCCAACATGGCCGTGTTGACTGTCTCGGCCGCTCAGTCACCATTCTGAATCACCCAACACGACCGTGTTCAGTCCAGTCAACCACCATAAGACTAAAATTGATAAAATTTTATTTGGGTGAGACCAATTGATAAAATAATTTCAATGGAACGAAAATTGATAATTATGGTATTGAATGGTACCAAAATTAATTTTTGCTCTTATTTTTATGTTACACAATAATAATATGCGTCTTTTTTTTTTTTTATTTTTTTTATTTTTTATCTTTTTTACTATAACCAATTATAATACTAATATTAAAAAATCTTTGTATAAAAAGTAAATGACAATTTTTCAATGAGATGGGAAGAATATATTTAATTGGATACAGAGATTTTTTAAAAAATAATACTCCTATAATAGTATTAAAGTAGAGTCGATTAAAAATAAAATATGATATTATAAAAAGTTTATTAAAAAAAAGTAAAAAATTAGTTATTATTGATTAAAGTAAAGTACATAAATTTTTTACTAAATGGATAAGTTGAACGTACGACCAAAAAAGAAATAATAACATAATTTTGGCAAACAGAACAAATATTTAGATTAAATTAAAAACAAGATTAAGACGATGAGGCACTGGGCTAATAAACAACACATGATATTACCATTGACAATATATCATTTATATTACTATAATAAAAATACATAAGATATAGTGTCATAGTGATAGTTGATTTTAGCATATGACATACTCTTATACAATACACATAATAATTTTAAACAAATAATACACATTTTTATTACATATTCGTGTAATACAAATATATTTTGTTTCTATATTTTACTTTTGGTTATTTGAACATTATAAATAGATATTATAAATAGATAGGGGTATTATTTAAAAAAAAAAATGAAAAATGAAAAATGAAAAGAAAAAAAGAAAATGTGAGATTTGTTCCTTTTGTGTTTATATTTTTTAGTTTGATTCTAACTTTTAATTTAAATGATTATTAAATGTAATATTGAATATATTATAATAAATCATAAAAATTACTTAATAAAAATTTTAAAAATTTCATAAGAAAAATACTATTTTTTATTTTTATATCATTTCCTAATTTAATAATTGTACTACTTGCCTAACATAATAAATATTCTTACAACTTACAATGTATTACACAAATGTCAATACTTTTTTCTTTTACTACAAACCAATGAATTTTGGTATTCTCCTGTTGATTAAAATTCAGGAACATCCCGATTTTTTTTAATCCGTTAGATCAATTTTACTGACAATCCAACGATTGAGTTTGATTGAGGGTATTTTGGTAATTCAAAAATTCAATTAGAAAAATTATCATAACTACCTCCGATAATTCGGGATTAAGTTTTTTTTAAACAAAACAAAAACGTTGTCTTTATAATATTATTATAATATTTTCCATGAAATACTTTTCTTATATAATTTAATTAAACGATGTCCAAGTAAATGCATTCTGATATATTCTATCAACTCGCCTATTATGATATGCTAATTATTTAAATAAATTAAAAATCAAATATATATATATATATTAACTCTTTAACTCTTCCCACTCCATCTTATTTACCAAGCCCTAAATTCACCACGCAGATACCCCATCCTCTCGCCGCGCTACCTCCGTCTACAACACAGTCCGCCGCCACTGACCTCTTCAGCCACGCCCGCCGCCGCCGCCGACCTCTACAGCCATGCCCGCCACCACCATTGATTACTTCTCTATCTGCATGCGCAATTCCTCCTCTATTTATAAGTTTACATTTGACGAATCTTCCAATGACGGATTCAACTAAGCGAGATCGTGAGGCTTCAATTAAACCCAAAACGAAGTTAATGGAGCACATTCAAGTACCATATGTGCCAAGAAAGATAGCAGTTTTCAACAACGATAAGCTCTTTCGGCCAAGCGGACAGATTTGGTGGTTGTGTTTTCATTACTGCGTAATATTTTTATGGTGATCATGCGTATATTTGCATTCTTGATTAGTTTTTTTAGAAAAAAAAAATCTCAATACAGCTATTCCTAAAATTCTTTTTGTTGGCCTCTGGACACATACTACGATGTATATTCATGACACATATGTTGTTTAAATTATGATAGAGTAATGATACTAAATCTTATTGTGCACACTTTTATTTCATGTTATAGTTTGTATTTATGATATACATATTGCATAATTATGATATATTGATCGGATTTAAATGATTAACTATGTTAGATATATTTTTCACCATGATATATAACTTCAGTAGACATGATATATATATCAAATATAAATGATGTAAGTTGCATATAGGGATGTTGCACGTATAATTATGATATATTTCATTTTATGATTTCTATTTATTATTTATATATTGCATAGTTATGATGTATTGTTGAGATTTAAATGATGATTATGTTATATATATTTTTCACCATTATATTTATATGTATAACTGAGTGGCAACATCCTCTGAATATATTCGTTTATTATTGGGGTAAACTTTACTATTATTTTTGCACTTTTTTTTTTTATTGAGGCAATAATAAATGTATTGTATATTTGATGATCACTTTTTGCCTTTTTGCATTTGTTTTTGTATGGCAAATTTTTGTCTATGCGCATATCTACAATATGACTTGTACGCATCGTTGGAGTTTGAAAAAAATGCATTTCTCCGATAGTCGATGAGTCAAATGGTATATATTGTTATAAAATATGTTGTTTATTTTAATGTAATATTGTTTACGAAATTTAATATTATGATGTCGCTTTTGCGCGAACATTGAGTAACTAAATTACTTGTTTTTCCTTTTTTATATGTTTATGATATTACTTCTATTGCAACTTTTCTCACATATATTATGATATATTTGAACATATTTTAAATATTTTGTCGTACGTAATTATTTTGCTATTTTACGATTTAATTCAAATAGATTTGGTTTTTTTTTTTTTTTTTTTTTGTTCTTTTATTAATAGGAGTACTTTTTACTTTAATAACAAATACCCTTATATTTAACATAATGTTATAAATAATGCAACTAGAGTTTGAGGGCAAATTGTTTTTTATAATTTTCAATTATATTAGTATTAGTATTACCTATAAAAACACCGAGTACTATCTATTAAAATTATGCTTACAAAGAAACTCAATACTCTTTTTGTTATACATTAATTTTTTAAAATAAATTAAATAATAATAATATTTTATTTATTAGTAAAAATATATAAAATAATTTTTTTTAATAGTGACTTTATAAGTATAAAAATAATAAATATATTTATAAAAAATAAAAATATTTTAATATTTATATATGATTACTTTATCAAAAAAAAAAAAATATAGTTTTGAATATGAAAATAATAATAATAAAATAATTACATTATAATTTTATTAGTTAGAAATTTAGAGTATATATATATATTTTTTCAACATGACACCACCAAAAAAATACTTTGCTCCAAACGTACTCATTTTTATCAATTTTGTATGTCTTATTAAAAAAACAATATTCATTTTCTATTACAATAAAAATAATTCATATATAAATACCAAAATATAAAATTTATAATCATCCATTAAATTTATGCATAATATTTATAATAAACAATTTTATCCATCCACTATTATTACCTTTATTTTTAAAAAATAATAATCAATTCGTCATTAATTTTTTACCTACACTTTTTTTTTTTTTTTTATCAATACTTCAATAAATTTCTTATAATATCTTATGTATCTCACTTTAATATTAGTAATATCATTATTAATTTATCCTAGCCTTGTTATTGTCGACTGCTAGTCATGGCAAATACCAGATCTAATAGAATTTGATTTGAGTGTATTTTCTCGAGTGCCAAATATTTCTCCAAATCATATTAAACAAAGTCCAAAACTGACAATAATTTTTGAAAAATATAACATCAAATATTCAATTTTAACTGATTATCATTTTTTTTTCAAAGGCTTCAAAATAATCCTTCAAACTAATTCGGACGAAATAAGATTCAAACAAGCAAACCCCGCCAAAAAAACACAATCCATGATATCCTCCCCTCGACCCATTGCTTGAATTTCTAACATCAAGAAAATCATATGACGCCCCAATCTGATCGATCAAATCAAAACAAGCAATAAAACACACATACCAGCTAGGTGGGCTTCCGCATGTTCCGTCCAGCTCGGATGACCTCGTCGACAAGTAGAAGTTGAGAAGCAATCACAGGGCTGCACAAGAAAAATAAAAAAACAACCAATTCTTCAGGAAATTCAAAATATAAATACATAATAATAGTAATCTTTTCTCAGGGAGGGAGATGGACCCCGAGTTTATGATCTGGCGCTTGACCGAGTAATTATCAAAGATGCCCTCCATTTGTGGGTCGATGGGTTCACCAGTGTGTATATTAAGACCAACCACATTCCCCTTGTCGTGCTCTCCCTGGAAATATCAAAACATATGTATAGTGAGTTTTTTCAGGCAGTCTTTTATATTCAAAATTATTGTTTGTATGAACAAATGATTACCGAAAGTTGAATGATCACATCCTGTGTGTCGAGCCCCGAGTTATCAGCAAGTGTCTTTGGAACCACAAGAAGTGCATCAGCAAATGCTTCCACTCCAAGTTGTGCGCGCTATTCAACATAACGCGAATCCAATAATTATATATATAAAAAAAAAACAAACGAATATTTAAGTATATCATTCCTACTCCCATTAAAACCAATCTCACCCCCCAACACACAACCCCCTCTTCTCCAAACAAAAGAAGGGGTAGAAACAATTGTACGTCGAAGATAAAATGAAAAAACTCAAATAAAAGAGCATTTACCCCTTGAACAGTTTTCTTCACTTCATTTACAAGGTATTGCCTGGCTGCCACCTCAAAAGCCCCTGCACCCTATTACATGAAGAATACTTGATTTCTTAAAAATCGGAAAGGAGCTCAAGCAAACAGTTACATTGTAAGAAGCTAAGCATTTGTTCCCACTTATTGAAGTTTCAATTATATAACTCCAAGCTCAATACACACTACAAAAATTATATTTTCTTCTTTGTATATTAATTACATGATAACCTTAGTTGACAGTTAAAAGTGACAAACAAGCCCACCATAGAACGACGAAAATGTAGGGAGGTAGAAACAGATAGTTGGTTCGCAATGACAAATTACTTCAAGGTGCATCTTCTACAACTTATTTCAGTGACACTTTGATGGAATAAGTATTTCACACTTTCAAGCAGTTAGTTGAACATAGCAGCAGACAGGCAACATCGACAAAAGAACACAACGATGACAGATGTGACAACTTACTAGCACAACAGCTTCATCTTCGATGGTATTTTTAACTGCTCTTAAGCCATCACGGATGGCATCCTTGATCTGAGCAATGGTGTGATCATTTGGACCTACAGAAAGTAAAGAAGTTCACATAAGTAGGAAAAATCGATAGAAACAAGATTCCTAAAATCAGGTTATCCAGATTTTAAAACAAATAGAACAAAGAACATGCAGAACCAAACTTAAGATTGGATTAAAAGGTGTGGTTGCCTGGAGCAGCACACTCAATAAATAATACAATCACACGCAAAACTAAGGAAGATACCTTTAATGAGGATAGTGCAGGAATGGGGGTTTTTCACATTCTCCACAAATGTATACTTCTCTTCTCCAAGGACATGCTCATATACTAATCCAGCCCAACCAAGGCACTCAGGGGTAAGGTCGTCGACAGAATTAACAGCCTCCCCTCCGCATGCCAAAACCAATCTTTCCATATTTCTCCTCTTTGCTCTTCGGAGTGCAATTATCTAATAATTATAAAATAAAATAATTTAGATGGTGCAAACTAGAAGGGCTAGACAACCCAACAATTCTGCTCAGTAAAGACAAATAACAACCTGAATCTCAAGAATTTGTAAATCCTTATTCTCCATGGAAAGTGATTATATGGAAAAACAGAATATTTGATTTTAACTAGTTCTGAAGAGTAATGCCAGCAATAAACAAAGTCTGATGAAGCATCTAATTTCCTCCCGGAGGTGAAGTCACAAAAAACCACCATGAGTTCGGAGGATTGACATAGCACTTGTGCTGATAACCAAATCAGACTCTACTTCAAAAGATGAAAACTAAAGCTCTTTTCCTTTCCCACTACTACTTTCTGGAGATGAAACCCCAAAAATTACAAATGTAAAGAATAGAAACAACTTAGAATTATTATATATAAAACTTGATACTACTGGAAATGACCAAACTAAAACCTAAATTCACACGAACTGACTGACTATCTACAGTAACCACAAACCAGTAGCATGTTAACATAAAACCGCAATTAGAAAAACCTTCCAATAGCCTATGGAAAAGTGTAAATGGTTGCATGTTCTTTATCTTTTGAGTGATCAGGACAATTCAAGAGGAGACTTCTATAAAAAGTCAATGCAACTTACACCAGCTCGAGCAAGAAGGTCCAGTGACGGAGGATCAATCCCCTTTTGATTGATGACAACAAAATTGCTATCACTGTCAGAGCAGACCTGCAATATGAACAAGGATGATCACATTGATATGAAACCATGTAAATAAGTGCTTATCTTACTAAGAATATTCGATTGCACCCTCCAATCCCGTACCTTGTTCTTTAAATCAATAATCTTCTGGACTCTTTCATCAACAGAGCGCCTCTCTGCTGCAACCATTGATTCTCTCTGTTCTGCACTCGAGTAAAAGAACCCTGCATTTATTTCACTGACCAGAACAATGTCAGTACAACTGATTAACATAAATAGAACTATATGCAACATATCCCAGCCAAATAAGCAATGTGTGTACCTCTTCTCATACTCCAGGGATACATTACATGTCAAAATATAACAATTCTCTGCTCGACGCTTCATATCTGGATGCCTTGAACCATGATCAAGAACAAGCCCCTCAACCTAAACACAGCAGGAAGACAACAATAACATTGTGGGTAGGCAAATACCTATACTAGAAAATAGACATCATCTAGTGGGTAAAGAAATCATCAAAAGCATATAAAGTACTGAATTTTTCATTTTCCAATAATGATTAGGGGAAACAATGGCCATGAAAATCCTACAGTGCCACATACTTACCTAAGATACAATAAGTTTTTATCACAAAAGTATTATTATTCTTACAAATAATAACAGGAAAAATAAGTTTCATTTGTAGTAATTACTCATGTAAGCATAAAACTCAGAATTCAGCATTAATTTAACAATTGCTAAGAAAGTAAAGATGAACATCAAAGCAAACATTAGAAAATAGTTACTATTGAAACTATCAGAAAAACCAAACAAATTTTAACCCATCAAATTGGCCTACCAGGCGAGTGTCAACATCAAACTTGTGGCGCATGTGCATTATCTCAACCATAAAGAGATCTATTGACTCCTCAGGTTTGCGAATGCAGAGCACCTACAGCAGCACAAATATAAAATTATTAAACTATAGATCATAGTTATTAATAGCAAATGTGATATCAAGGCAGAAAGGCTCTAAGAACCATGACATACACGTACATTTAAATGGTAAGAACCTTACCAAAATATGGCAAAATGCAATTTATAATTCACTGTTTAACACCAATCCCAACAAGAAGGAAAGTAAACAGAAAGAAGCATATTTGAAGCAAATGCAAATGACACAACTAAAAGGGACTGAAGATCACAAGCATTGAAAACATAGGAGTAGGAAAGAGAGAATGTACTCCCGTAGCCAACTAGGAACTAACTGCATGGGGGTCACAGATTCCCTAGTCATCTGATTGTTTTTATTCTTTATATATATATATATGTGTGTGTGTGTGTGTGTGTGTGTGTATAAAACAGTGTGATTTGTTGTACCAGGTGCTTGTTTCAAGTACAACCTAAACCATCACTGATCATTGAACATGGTGCTCACAATAATAAATATTACTAAATTAAAGATTAAATAAAACTAATAACCATTAGCACTTACAGAATTTACAATTATGTCAGTTAGTTGATCTGCCAATGCTTCATATAACTGAAAATGAAAAAACAATGAACTTCCGTCAAATATACAAAAAAAAGAAAAAAAAACGCAAAACCATGTAACAATAATCAAAGATAACCTTAGTCCTTAAGGTTGTTCTTGCAACCATCTTCAGTATCTCTTTATCAGGTTCGTCACCCATCATCACAGGAGTCTTAAATTTTTCAAGAAATTGCAGTGTGGCCCGTTTGGCTATTTCAAATCCATCTACTAGAACACGTGGATGCATTCCTGAAGGAAAAAGAACCAAGTCCAAAGCCTCGAAAAAAGACCAATTGATGCAATATCAAACACGTCTACAAATCCAACACTTAAACAAGTCAAATTAGCCAACATTAATGAACCAGAATTTTAGAGAGTAGTATTCACCAACAATGTGTTTAGTTTCAGATTTCAATACCAATAAGTATTTTCCTCATTTCAATGCTTGTGCACAGAAGATTGAATTTTTTCGCAACTACTTCAACACAATGTCCAACTATTAATAGCGTGTATGGAATGCATAGCATGGGACTGTCACTCATTCACTGATCCAAATCTAAAGGAGAGTAGTTTTCACTGACCTTCATCTATGTACCGCTCGGATTGCTTCATAAGCTCACCAATAAAGATAACAGTAGAAGTAGTGCCATCTCCACTTGTCTCATCTTGTGCAACGGCAGTGCGCGCAATCATTATGGCTGTTGGACTTTGAATTTGCTATTATGATCCAAAGAGCAACAACATAGTGAGAATGATGTCATCTACAAACATTTCTACAAATTATTCCTAAGAACACATCAAAAGAACATTCAAGAATACTCTTAAAAGTCATAAAAATTTCAAACAGACCACTCCACTCCAGAAAGAGAAAATGTAACATCACTGCCTGCAGTTCACTCAGATTCATAAATTTTATCAAATGGCCATATGATCTTTAGCATAATACTTGGCGCTACCACATGAAGGTTAAAAAATTGATGTGTGTATCTTGAGCTTCCTATAAAGTTGCTACTCTTACTAAAACAAATCATAATTTAATCGGAGCTCTAGGCATACTGTGCACATTAAATAATTTAAACCAGGTACAATACGAATACTACATGTGAATCCCCAAATGATCAACAAATAAAAGAATTGAGGCATACATCAGAATGCACATTTTCATCAACCAAAGTTTGAGGTTGGGAGCGGTACTAATAAAGAAGAGAACAAACCATCTCTTTCAAAAGAGTATTCCCATCCTTGGTAAGTTTAATATCTCCAGCTCCACCAACAAGCCTGAAGATACCAATTACCAACCGAAAGTCATACACACAAAATCCAATCCAGAAAACGAGGACAAAATATACACAAATAAATCTGAAAAGGTAACACTGAGATAAAAACAAAGTGAAGAATACATTTTGATAGTCCCTTTGGGACCGAGATTCGTCCTGAGCACATCTTGCAGACCCTTTGCCGCATTAATGTTCATATGCAAAGCATGAGACTTGTTCAGCACCTCGGCATTCGGATTCAGCACCTTCAGCGACATGGTTCCACGCCAAGCAAAAATCTGCGAAGAGATTGATGTAAGTAGTATGATCTGGAAATCTATCTAGGGTACAGAGGAGTGTAAAGAACGTCGAGCGCGGGTAGAAGAAGGGTTTTTAGAGCACAAGCAGTGGCCTTGGCCTCTGTTTGGGTCTTCGAACCGACGTGTCTACGTGGGTCCAGCGTGTCAAAGTGGGTGACAGAAAAAGGGTTACAGTGACCTTTTTTTCATATCCTTCTCTTGTCTGTATTAACGTTTATTAAAATAAACATATAAAAAACCCATCCCCACTCCATTCTCACGGACATTTCGAAACCCTCGGATGGCGTCGGCTACGCTCCCAGCGTCGGATAGCCACTAGCGTTCTATTTCATCGCTCCGGCGAGTAGTTAGTTTGCGATTCACCCGCGCCAGTCACAACCGCAGGTTCTTTCGCCCAATCTTTCTCTCCTTCACCGCTCAAATCAAATAGAAAAACTAGGTCATTTTGGATTGGCCATTTCTTTCTTGGTCAACTAGGTATATTTTTAGCCGTAATTGGATGGATGAAGAAATATAGAGGCGGAGAAGAGGATGAGCAAGACGAATGGGGCGAAAGATTGAGAGTGAGAAGAGGACGACAAAGAAAGAAGATGGAATATAGAGGAGAGAGAAAGAATTGTGGCTTTGCCAAACCTGAATCGGCGGTTGGGCCAGCGAGGGTGACGGGTCTTGCGGCGAAGGCGGCGGCGGCGGCGGCTGAGCAGCAAGGAGGAGGAAAGAAATGAGGAAGAAGAAGAGAAATAGGAGTACCTGTTGCGGGCGGCGGCGTAATGTCAGTGTAAGGGGAGAGGGAGAAGAGCATGGTTCGGCGATGCGGATCGGCCTTACCGTTCCAGATATGTCCGTGGCGGCCTATATGATTTTTTATATAAAATTTATATTTTTTTAAAAAAATAATAAATAAATAATTAAAATACATCGAATTATAAATATAATTAATTTAAATATATATATTATTAAAAAAATATATTATAATTTATAATATATTAAAATTTAAAATAAATAATATTTCAATTAGCGTGTATATATATATAAATGTAAATGCTATATTTTATATTTTGCATATTATCATTATACTAATAAATTTATTTTAATAACAAAATGATGTACTTTGTGTCCGTCAATGTCAATATTTCATCTTTATGATCTGTATTATATATAAATAAAAATAATTAGAAAAAAAATACCAATAAAATTTTATAAAATATTCAAACTATGTTTGTACTAAATATTTATACTTACCATTCAATACCATGTGGAATGTCATGGAGGCTCAAAATCATTTTCATATGCCGATCGATTATAGTATGAATATCCTTATTCTTGATTCATATTACGTGAATAAGGGGAGATGTTCGAACCATATTGATTTTCTCTAAATGAACCCCTTCCATATACATCAAAACCTCGATATTCTCTATTATCATTGTTTCTGCTTGATGAACCATAATTTTGTCTATAATCATCAATACTACCCGAACCAGATGTAATCCCTCCGTAATATTTTCCAACTGGTTGGTTGGATCCAAATATAGGAAGATTGGCCGAATCCTGAAGATGTCTGGGTAGATTAGATAAACCATATCCTGAGTAATAGGGATTATGATATGCATTTGGGTGGTCCCACTCCTGTCTCCCCAATCTATTACTCGAGTTGTGAGAAGAATCTCCATAGGAATAACCTATATTCAAGTCTTGCATATGTTCGTGAACTCCAAAATATCTCCTAGTATCTGAAAAATTTGAAGCATCGGCTTCACTTGAAAATTCTGTTAAACTATTTAGAAAATCTCTTTGAGCTTGTATACCAGGACGATATCCATAATCAGTATCTTGGATAGCATAATAATTTTTATTTCCTTAAGCCCATCTCATATCACTTGAGTATCGGCTATCCCTGTAACTCCCACTACCACAACCACCACCACCACCACCACCATTGTCATCATCATCATCATCATTGTTATTATTCTTATCTTCACCATTAGTTGATGAAGATGAAGATTCCAATATGATTGTTTTTTTTTTCTTGGCCATATTTTTGTTTTCTGATTTTTTCTCTTTCGCCTTCTTTTTTCCATCAGTTATAAATTGAGATAAAAGCATATCACTGTCATGATCACTATGCTCACTTTGACCTCCATCTCCACTTTCTTCAATAGCCTCATCCAATCAATTCAAATCACTATCACGAATAAGTGGAGATTCATTTTCTCTGACCCATTCATCTAAAATATCATTTTCATAAAAAATATGATTCAAATCAATTGGGTCATAAAAATCGTCTGTGTCTGTCCTTTGCATAAATTTTTTTACCCGAAGACGCATGTTGTAGTGAACATAGACTAGCTTATGCAATTTCTCAATAGCTAATCTATTCTGAAGTTTAGTATTGATCAAAGCCCACGTACTCCAATTCCGCTCACAACCCGATGATGTGCAAGTTTGACTCAAAACTTTTAATGCAATTTTTCTTAAATTAGGGGCTTCATCACCGTACATATTCCACCAGTCAGCTATTAAAAATAAATAAAAAATTATTAATAATGCAACATTTTATAACAAGTATGTTTAAAAATATAATTAAATGATAAATTTCATAATACATACCTGATAAAGATGTAAATACAGCTCTAATAGCAAATGCACTTCCAAACTCTTCAATTTTGTTAACAAATATGTTTATCTATAGACAATATAATGGTTAAATTATTAGAAATTAATATATATATATATATATATTATTTATAAATTTCACACAATTTACCTCATTCATGGCCTTTACTTATATATCCAAATCTGGCTCGAGTCTTTTGATAACTTCTTTGACTCCTTTTCGAATCTCCGATGAATCAAATTCACAAGTGCCGGAGTATTGAAGACCAGGATTTAAAAAATAAGCTGCATGAAATATATATGAAATTAAAAAATAAAACAAACGATTAGTACAGTATAAAAACAAAAGAGTAACAACAATAGTTACCTGCTGCATGCAAATCTTGATGCAATTGATTATACCATCTTTCATCGATGATATCCCAATATTGTGGAAAATCTTTCACCGCGGTTTTTATTGCCATTTTTGCCCTATCCATTGCCTCATAAATGATAGGTAGTGTAGGTTTTTTTTATCTTGATCAACTACTTTTAAAACCTTCACTAAGGGTTTCATGACCCCACAAACTCAGCGTATCCGTTTTCAAGATCTTTCATTCAAAATCAAGTCTGACATATCTCCGGCTCCATGTCTTCTCCTCGAGGTATTATTGTACTCAACCCATTCTCTAGAAGTACACATTCTTTTCAAATCGGTTGCATATCTCTGAAGACTTTCCATTGCAACAAACTCGGTTGCAAATCTTGTTATGCCTAGTCGCAACAAATCTCGGTCATTCGTATATGTTTTCATCAAATTGACCACTTTATCACTGTTGTATATAAATCATGTAATTCTTCTGGCTTCTTTTATCGTATCTTTCACTGACAATATAATTCCGATGTCTTCTAACATCAAATCAATGCAATGTGCAGCGCATGGAGACCAAAAAATGTGCTTTCTTTTCCTCATTAGTTTTTTCCCAGTCGCCTTCATACTAGCTTTACTATCAGTTACAATTTGTACAATATTGTCAACCCCTACTGATTCCACCACCTTATCCATTAGGGTGTAGACAAAGTCCGCAGTCTTCGCCTTATTTGTACAATCAACCGAATTGTGATATATCATATCTCTATCACAGTACACCATAAAATTTATGATTGGATGTTTTGAACGAGTACTCCAACCATCACACATAATTGTACATCCGTATGTTTTCCATTTATGCTTTAAAGAATCAACATATTGTACAACTTCTTGCATCTCCTCGTTTAAATATTCACCACCAATTTGTTTACCAATAGGTCTTTTAACTCCAGGTCCAACCGATGCAATCGTGTCAATCATCATTTGGTAGTAAGGACCACTATCGGCAGCGTGAAATGGTATTGCATTAAAATGAAAAAATTTCAAAATTGCTCTACCCACTTTTTTTGCATTATCTTTTGAAAACATATTTTTCAAAGACTTATTCTTCGATTGAAACATGTATGGATCAAGTTTTTTTTTTTATGCAAACCTTCCGTCTTTTTCATAGAGCTTTCGAAAAAATTTCTTTTACTTTGTTTTGTATTCGAGCTGCTTCCTCCTACAAAGATAAAAAAAAAAAAAAACATATGATTATATATGGTTGTTATCTCAAAAAAAAATATATACTAATATTTAAATATATTTTATAAATTCAATAAATATACCAGGTTTAAAATTCAAGCTTGGTAGATCTCCGGATACAGAATGTCTACGTTGCTACTCCATAAATTCCATATTTCTGCTTTCAGCCATTGCTCTTTTTAAGTGTTTTCTTTCAAGAGCATCTATCTCATCTTCATTCACTACAAAAAAGTTAGTATATTTGTAACGGAATTTCGTTCCTAAAGTTCACGTAGCTAACGTAATTCCATCTCTAATTCCGTCTCTAATATCATTAGTAACAGAAAAAGTGAATTTAGTAACGAAAAAATCTCGTTACAAAATTGATAATTTCTTGTAGTGATTTATTTCAAAAACTTCATCTTCTTCCTCATCAGAATCATCTTCCAAACGAATGGAATTGTGCAATGCTTCTAACTTTTTTTTATATGCTGCTCGCATACTTTTTCCTTGGATCAAATGTTTTTTTAATAACTCTCTTATTTCTTTTGGAGCTCTCGTGCATGCTTCAACTTGACCTGTAACATGTGCATATGTTGTGTCATCCTAGTAATTCCGCCGTGAACAATTTTACCACAATAATTGCATTTTGCTTTTTTTTTTTTATCATTGCTGATAGGAGTAGCATGATCCCAACCAATATCTTTGTGCGGTGCCATTTTACACAGACTCTGTAATTGAATAATACAATTGTTAAAATATTTATAAATAGTAATTCATTAATTAAATAGACAAATTATATATATTAGTTTATTAATAAATCAAACTTATACAAAAATATAACTAGATAACTAATTTGTTTATATAAAAAGTCTAGTTAAAATATTAATTTTTTACAATAAATTTACAATTAATACAAATTTTGTCTAAAATAATATTAATTTTAAATAATTAAGTTATAAGTTATTCTAAAATATTAATTTTAATGAACTCAATTTATAAATAAAAATTAAATACAATCCAAAATAATTGAACTGAATTTATCAATTAATTAAACAAATTATTCTAAATAATTAAATCTAAAATAATTAAACCTATCAATTAAATAAACAAATTAATCAAAATTAATTCAAAATTAATTTCAATAAAATAATTAATTTTATACTTATATTTATAAATATTTAAATTAATTAAAATAATATAATAATTAAATTTACCCAATTTCCTCCCACTTCTTCCCTACTTTTTCCCCTTCCCCACTTCTTCCCCACGATTCTTCTTCAGCGACGCAGAACGGCGGGCACAGACCAGCGGCGAGCAGAACGGCGGGCACAGACCAGCGGCGAGCAAAATGGCAGGCACAGACCAGCGGCGAACAGCGAAATTTCTTCGCCAATTTCTTCTCAACACCGACGATTCAAAAATCCACCTTCCAGCACCGCAATACCCAACCAAAACACCTCGTTCTTTAGGTAAATGTTTTCTTCTCCAATCTGTCGAATTGAGATGAATTGATACAATAATATGAATTAAAAGTAGAAAAAAAAGGTAAGAATAGGATTTATAAACGATTTTATAGATAAAGATATGAATAAATGTGAAAGTTTTTGTCAAATA